ATTAGATTAACAGAGTTGGAAGGGACCTTGTAGGTCATCTAGTCCAACCCCCCTTAGAAAATAGACTTAGATCAAGACCGGGCTGGGTATAGCACCAGGGCTGTGGTGCTTTGGGGGAATAACCTTGGGGGGGGGGCATAGTAGGTAGAATCATAGGGCTGGAAGGGACTTGGAGGTCTTCTAGTCCAACCCACAGCTTAAGGCAGGAGATCTTATACCATCCCGGTCAAGTGGTTGTCCAGCCTATTTGTCAGAACTGTTACCCTTTGTTCCAGCCCTGCTTCGCTAGATATTAGCATGCCGTAAACTATGGGAGGAGGGAACTGGGGGAATGGGGAAACCGAAACTAAGCTTAGTGCCTTCCTGAGACATCGACTCAACATCCCAAGGTCCCAGGCCTGGGAAATGGAATATAAGGGCTCAAGATCTAGCCTGCCTTTGCAGGGACAGTTACCAAAGCAACTTCTTTGAATATACCTGGAGAAATGGGAGATGGTGTGTGTGTGTGTGTGTGTGTGTGTGTGTGTGTGTAATGAGAAAGGGAAAGTTAATAGAGAAGTTTTCACATGCAAAACCTCCGTTCTGGCTTTGATCTACTGTAACCACTTGGCTTTTCGTACAAGTATTCTTTTCACTACAGATAGAGTCGAGAGTCTTACTTTCCTAGAAGACCAAGTTGGGACAGGGCTGATATCAAACCAGGGCTGACACTATTTGTGAAACCCTCCAGTTGATGGAGCAGCCACAACATGTTCTCACTGTCTGGAAATTTCTCCTTAGCTCTGTGTTGGATCACTCTTTAGAATTAAGCTTACTTCTTGTCCTGGCCCTCTGAATAATTTCAGGGTCTTAGTTATAGCATTTGTCCCAACATGAACATGGAGAAAGGGATAAGTGTTGTGGCTCACTGGAGGCCTGCGGAGCTGGCAGCAGAGTTGGACAGTGGGGAGGAACATGAGCCAGTCCCGGAGTCTCGGACAAGGGTCCTGCATCCGATACAGAGATGGGGCCAGGGCCATCTGGGAGTTGTGTGCTGAATCCAGAGCCTCCAGAATCTGACATCAGTGTGGCAGAGGAACAGAGGGATCCGGTTCCCAGTGTGCGTATGCACAGAGCTGCCAGAAGGCAAGAACAGTTAAGACAAAAGGGGCGACTTGGGACTAAGGCTTGGAGATGATTGGCCCTCCCATAAGACATAAAGGAGGAGCAAAGGGACATGAGCCTTTGCAGGAAGCAACCTTGTTCGTACTGGTTGGTTTAAACTCTGAAGCTCTGTGCTGACTTCGTTCTCCACTTGTACAGCTAATTGGCAATTTAGTCATTGGCAGCATTTCAAGGGAAATAAAGGTGGGTGCCTATCAGCCTTATCCCGAAAGACTATGGCAGACTTCTTTTGGGCTATTCATAAACTGTTTGGGACTCACTGCGGGCTGTGAATGCATATAATTCACAGCCGTTGAAATTTTAAAAAAAGGTTTTGGGGAACAGCGTGTGATTGTTACTGTCTCAAGAAGCCTTGGTCAGAACAATAATAATCAGAAGTGGAATAAAGAGCCGTAGTCTAAGCTATAGTCAAATAGGAGGCATTAGGCCTATGCTCTTATCTGGCCACAGACAAGGCAACAATCAGATTTAAAGGTAGCCAAGCAATGGAGAAAATATTTGCAGAATTCTCCCATGAAACAAACTGGATATGTGTGATAAACACCCTTACAGGTTTTTCAAATTAACGGTTATGGATAGACATTGTTGATTAAATAGTATCTCTGTGGTGGAATAAAGGAAAATAATATTGACGAAGAGAGAATAAACAGGGCAAAAGATATATATTAAAAGTTACAAAAGGCATTTCAACAACGGCATGTATCTGTGGATAAAACCAGCCAGATACTGAGCACTGACAAAAACTGGGACTATTTGTGGATAAGAACATAAGCTCTTTTCAGTTTCTTTCTTCCCAAGAAGCAAAATCCATGTCACAAGGAAATCAGTGATTCCTGGGTTTTTCTTTTTAAAATCCTCCCCGCCTTTCCTTACCAAAAATATAACAGAATGCAAAACAAAAGGACGCTTCAGTTCAGATGAATAGGAAGCATTGTGATGTTAGACTGCGAAGTGTGAATCTGAAAACAGGGCTTGCGATAACCAGAATGAGATTTTAATCATGTATGAACAGTTGTTTCTTTAAAGCGCCAATATGTCATAAATTCTGCTTTTAGTTCTTCTGCTTTTACAGGAGAATTAATTGGCTTTGATGAGGTTCAATCCCTAAATTTCTTATATTTAGGGATTGAACCTAATCAAAGCCACTATCTGTGAAAATCATCATAATCTCTTGAACAAGGGATTCTCTATTAAATGTCTTTTTTCCCCCCAAATCCAAAAAAATTATCCATCTTTTTGGTTAACAATCTGTTTTCAGAGATCTAACGGGGAAATTCAGGGATTGGATGCAACCGAATTACTGAATTGTTTTTGAGATGTGCAAAATTCTCTTATTTCCAAATGAAATCAATGATACCAATCAAAGAAACTGATTCAAATACATACATCATTATCATTACGTGAACAGTGTGGTACTGAGTATCATCATTTTAATACAAAAGAAATAATAATATAGGGGGAAAAAATACTAAATTAGTCCAGCTTACGTCGTCTAATGTTGTTATACATAACTGTATCAGCACTTAGTCCTTCATTTTTCAATTGTTGATATTTGCTACATTCTTCTAATAGTAATATATTTTATTTTGAGCATACCGAGTAACCTCCTTTTTCACATTCTAATCTTAACCTTTGATATTCTCTTTATATATATTAAATAAAAGTATGTATAACAATGTTTCCCCATTTCTAAATTTATTTAAATCAAAAATTAAAAAAAAATACAAAAAGAAAAGAAAAGAAACTGATTTAATTCAGCTTCCTGAATCCAATACATTTTCTGATCGTAAAAAGCTAAATATGTCCCTTGGAGTTGCCTGCCATGGTGTGTGGTCAAAAAAATACTCCTGATTAAAATTAATGATACATGCACTTATGCACACCTGACACATAGTGCAAGCTATCGTGTTGTTTAAAACCACATTCCTCGGGATGTGGCAACACCAAGAATGTTTAGACATTATATGGACCAACACACAAACACACACAATAATATCACGCAATACTGAGGCACCTTCCTCTTCCTTGTGGGGTGTGTAATAAACACCAAAAGCAAAAGCCAATAAGTTGAAGACAGACTTACTTGTTCACTGTAGAGAACCTGTATATTTTTTATGATACGGCAGTGTTTCTGAACAATTGCTACAGCCTGAGCCAACGGCATTCCTGGAGGGTGGGAAAAAAAAGGAAAAGAGTTAGAAAATTACCCCTATTTTAATTAGGCTGATGCAAAGGTGTTGGCTCAGCAGGGTACCTGTGGAGCAATATTTGTTCCTTTGGGGAAGAACCAGTTGACCCATAAAAACATTTCAAGACAGTGAGTAAACTCAGCTCCATGTCAAATCAGGAAAACCCGTGTTTTCAAAACGGCAACGAGCCATAAAATTAGGAACATTTCTCTTAAGTCAGATAAAACCAGCAAACTGAAATTGTCTGACTTAAAACAAAGAAAAGAAAAGATTACATCTTCAGCCATCTCTAGGAACTGCAATGTAAACATTCCTTCCATTGATTAAGTATTAAAGTTAAGAACACCGTGTATGTTGTGCTTTTCCCTTTGGTGGCACCCTTAATTTTGGTCTGCTAAGAGGATTTGTGAGACTCTAGAGCAGTGGTGGCTAACTTTTTTGGGCTCCTATGCCAGAAGTTGCATGTGCGTTCATGTGCCAGCACCCATAAGGCAATGTGCACCCCCCGCCTCCTGCGCATGCCACCCCCTTACCTGCACTGCACCTGCCAGCTGATTTTCAGCACGTTTGAGGCCTTTTTCGGCTTCTCAGAAGTTTGAGGGAAGCCTCTGTAGCCTTTGGAGGCTGAAAAATGGGCCTGTTTTGTCACTTCCGGTATTTCTCGAAGTACAGGAAGTGACGAAACAGTCCAATTTTTCCGGTCTCCAAAGGCTGCAAAGGCTTCTCTCTGAGAGGCCAAAAAAGGCCTCAAACGGGCTGAAAATCAGCTGGCAGGTGCGCACATGCACAGTACATTTGCCTGGGGCTTGCGTGCCCGCACAAATGGCTCTGCGTGCCACCTGTGGCACATGTGCCATAGGTTCGCCATCACAGCTCTAGAGGCTGGAAAGGTTTTCGAGCCAGTGGACGTACTTGGAAATTGTGTACAGGCAGCCCTCGACTTACATCCATTGGTTTAATGATGGTTTGAAGTTACAACGGCATCGAAAAAAGTGACTTTTGACCATTTTTCACACTTAATGGCCGTTGCAACAGCCCCACGGTCGCGTGATCAAAATCCAGCCACTTGGCAACTGACCCATATTTATGACGGTTGCAGTGTCTAGGGGTCGGTCACGTGATCACCTTTTGATAAGCAAAGTCAATTGGGAAGCTTGATTCACTTAATCACGTTACTAACTTACCAATTGCAGTGGTTCACTTAATCACTGAGGTAAGAAAGGTCATCAAATGGGGCAACAACTCACTCAACAACTGCCTTGCTTAGCAATGGAAATTTTGGGCTCATTTGTGGTCAAAAGTCGAGGCCTACCTGTATTAGAGCCCCTCAGAAAACGGCTACTCCCACGGGAGCCATTTTGTGAAAGCTCCCACACTAAACTCTCCAAACCTGTGAGCCAGGGAAGTTTTCTGTGCCTGCTTTAAAGCATTTGAAGTCAAAGCTGTATTTTGCCTAAATGTGCATTTATTAAACCGATTGACAGAATAGGGCATCTTTATCATAACACAAGGCCTTCTAGGAACAGTTCAACACACATTTAAATCTGGCAAATTATGCTGTGGTTTTGCATCTGCTATATTCCATGAAAGTTTTAATTGCTCAACAGGGTTATCTTTATAATTCCAACTCTACAACTACTAGATTATCTATATGGTGCTAGACAAATTTGTTTTCACCAGCAACTTGCAGGCCAGGCTGGGGAAATTCTGGGAGTTGGAAGTCCACACATCTTAAAGTTGCCAAGGTCCCAAAAGTGCTTTTTCAAAAGGCAACTAGACTTTTTGGGGGTTTTCCTTGAAGACGTTTTGCTTCTCATCCAAGAAGCTTCTTCAGTGGTGGATGAGAAGTGAAACGTCTTCAAGGACAACAAAGAAAGTCCAGTTGCCTTTTGAAAAAAGCACTTTTGGGACAACCATGACCTGGGTCTCCAGAGACATTTTGCCAAGGTTTATTTGTTTTAAATAAATAACGAATAAGCAAGTAAAAAAAAATCTGCTTTCTCTGTTGCTTTTGGACTGCTATCTGGATTTAGGACTCTGCAAAAGTTTTGCTTTTTCAACCTGTTGTGCTTAGCAGCTGACAAGCTTCAGATTCAGGCACACCATCCTTCTGATCAGAGCTGGTGTGTTCACAACTTGAGGAAATCCTTGTTATGCTTGGATAACCCCACCACTCTCCACCCAGGCCCCACCTGAAAGTTAAACTCAGACTTACAGCTCTGTTCAGTTTTGAACAAATTTATGCCCAAACTATTCCATCCAGCTGAAAGCTATTTTTACCCATTTAATTCTTTATTAAAACTGTCCCTAACCAGCATCTTTAAATACACCAGTGCTAGTCTTTTTCTTCTTTCTTAATATGTTAGCAATTGCTTAAGCGACTGGTTCAACCCACATGTAAGCCATGAATCACCAATCCCATGTCCGGACACACTAAGCCAAAAATCCTGGTTATAAACTCAGACGGCTGGGCTCATAGAACACCAGAAGCCAAAATCTGTGCCTTACAAAACCACAAGGCCTGGGGTTCATACACAATGCCAAGCTGTGAATCGTGGCTTGTGAATTGAAGTGCTTGCTACTGCATATACTTGCTACTGCATGTAAACCTGTAAAGGTACATAGTGCCTCTTCTTGAGTGCAACAGGTAAACCCAGACATGCTGTGGAATAAAATGCCCTCCCTCCAGCCTCCCTCCCACCCAAGGGAAAAAATAAACAGGAAATAAGAATATCAACAGGACACTTAACTGAAAAGAGGTAGACAACCAGAAGGGTAGTTTAACTCCACTGGTACTAGTAGCCTTTGGGCACATTATGAACTAAGAGGCTCAAAAAGTCATATATCATTGTAATGTTGCATGAACATGTCTGTTTACAGCTTACCGCTGAAAAGAGTGCCATATATCTAATGATTCAGCCTTCTCTAAGGCTGGCCAAATGCAACTATGGTTGTGTCTAGTCTAGGACAATGTTTTTCAACCTTAGCAACTTTAAGATATGTGGACTTCAACTCCCAGAATTTTCCCAGCCAGCCAGCCGACTCCCAATTTTAGGGAGCTGAAGTCCACATATCTAAAAATTGCTAAGGGTGAGAAATATCACATTGAGGTCTTTAAGTTTAATGAAAAGAAGGACCAGGGGCTGACATGATAGCAGGGTTCCAATATTTGAGGAGCTGCCACAAAGAAGAGGGGGTCAAGCTATTCTCCAAAGCACCTGAAGGCAGGACAAGAACCGATGGATGGAAACCAATCAAGGAGAGAACCAACTTAAAACTAAGGAGAATTTCCTTGACAGAATAATTAATCATTGGAATGGCTTCCCTCCAGAAGTTGCGAATGCTCCAACACTGGAGATTTTTAAGAAGAGATTGGACAACAATTTTTCTGAAATAGTACAGGGTTTCCTGCTTGAGCAGGGAGTTGGACTACAAAACCTCCAAGGTCCCTTGAAGATATTCTGTTAATCTGTTAGTATTGCAGGATGGGGAATTCTGGGAGTTGAAGTCCACATTTCTTAAAGTTGCTAAGATTAAGAAGCATCAGTCTATCATGAAGTCTATCCCGGGATCCTCAATTAGCACAAACTCTGCAAAAGCAACACGTCATCATCAATAGGTAGGGAGCAAGGCCATATTCTGATTTTACAGAAGCAGTGGAAAATTTTAGCATCCCCCAGAAGGCTGAATGTTTTATAGCTCTGGCTTCCAAGACTGCCCTACGGAACTGTTTATCACCCAAAGAAAAACAAATGCAGGCCGCAGAACTGATTATAGGCTGTGAATTTATTGCCGGGTTTACTGGGTTACTGATGAAATATAAATGAAGGAGAGCAAAAAAAAAAAGGTGCAGGAATCAAGAATTTCTTTAGAAATGCCACACTGAATAAAAGCACAGGGAAAAATCTGTTTCCTTTGGTAATTTTATTGTGTAATTAGCTATGAGTCCATATTTAAAAAAAAACAGAATACATAACACAGAACATTACTAAGACCCTATGAAATGGAATAAAAGAAACAGATTACATAGAAAGCGTAAAGAATGCAAATCCTATTTTCGTATCACCCTTACCATTTTTATTTATATTTACTATGCTGCCCTTCTCCCTATGAAGTGGCTTATGAGTTATAAATCAAGTGGAGAAATAATTAAAACATTAAAACTACACAGATTACAATTTACTCCAATCACACCTACATACGCAAATCTCAACTGTACCTGAAACTTACAGTAAAGAGAATATATCCTTAATTATTCATGTATTAACTGCAGCCAGAATTGTATTTGCTCAAAACTGGAAAAGTGAAGAGATTCCTACTGATGAAAATGTGATTAGGAAAATATTAGAATGTGCAGAAGTGAGCAGATTAACACTTGCAATTAAAGACAAGGAGCAAACTGAATATTATAAGATATGGGAACTATTTTATCGATAGAGAAAAAACATGAAAGCTAGAAATATCGAATAGATTAGTAAAATAAGGAAAATATCTTAATAGAATTAAACATGGTAAGAAGAGGATTGTTATAATGATATATATGCTAATAATAAGTGAAGATCTAAGCATGTTATTGTTATAGTATAAGAGATATTATGTACATTAATAACAAGATAACAATGGAGAACTAATATCAATGTAATGAATACAGTAGTAATTTTGATTATTGCCACACAAGATGTCTATACTCAGACGATGTATTGTTAAATGGAAGATGAATTGTTTGGATTTATAAAAAAATAAGAAACTTTTATTTAAAAAAACTGAACTCTTTTATTGAAATAAATGCTGTGTTAGGTGCAATTTTCTATTTTTGATCGCACATGAAATACGTTGTTTTAATATAAGGCTCCTAATAGGTCATTCATCTAATAAGCTTTCCACACAGAATACAGAGTTGGAAGGGACTTTGGAGGTCTTCTAGTCCAGCCCTCTGCTTAGGCAGGAAACCCTACACCACTTCAGACAAATGGTTAT